TATATATATATATATATATTCCTTTATATAAATTTTCCTGAGCCAACTCCTTTATTTATTTTTTTTATCCATCTATAATATATTTTATCTTTTATTATGCTCTTTTAAAATAAAGCTTCCTTAAATCTCTTATTTAATAATTTTTTAAAGTAAGATTTTCATTTTTCGCCAATATTTTCATCCTCAACGAATATCATATTTTTATGCATCTAATTTAATTAAAATTCCTAGATCTCTTATCTCTTATCTCAGTTGTTCGACATGACTCATTTACACTTTTCTTAGTACCAAGTCTATAATTCTATAAATCATCAAAATTTATGGACTTTTTTTTTACTCACTATCCCTTGGTAAAAATTTTAGTTTTCTTATAATCATTCTAAGCATTTGTAGTATTTAATTTTTTATACTTTTTTAAAAGTGTGTGTCATCTTTTTTTATAACCGTTTGTACCTCCTCACCCACCAGAAACAAGCTAACATTTAAGTAGCATCAGCATCTTCACTATATTTCTAGGTGTGTAATCGAGTGGTATTTCTCTTACCTAAAAAAAGGTTTAGGCTCCAATCTTCGAATAAATAATCATCATTATTAGCTTTATCCAACTATTAAGGTAGTCTTTTTTAAATATCATTCTCCATTCAACATTTCTGAGTGACATGTAAAAACTATTTTATGTAAATCACTTTGTACAATCTTTAAAGCCATCTAAAAATCTCTTCTTATGTTCCAATCTTTGCACAATTCTAAGAAAAAATGAAAAACATTTTCTCAATCGCAAATGCATTGGAAATCCTCGACCAATCATCCGGCAATAGATATGTAGCTAAATAATATTACAAATGAGAGTGAAAGAAAATTAATATTAAAATTGACGCACATGTCAACTAGAATGAACATATTATGATCAATTTAACAGCATAATGATTGTTACAATGGGATCTCAACTTTAGAAACACTAGGAGATCCAAAACATTCTAGCGAAGTATCTCCTATCATTTTTCCTGATGTTTGCAAACTTCCGTGAGAAAATAATCTCATTTTCTCAACCTCATGCACATTTGAACTCCATAGTAATTCAGCGTTGCATATCCACAACCAGCAATAGAATTTCAATTGTGAGCATAACTACTCTAAATGCAGAGTGAGAAATATTATCATTAAATTAAATGGGCATTTACATACATAGCACACACTTCTTATGTTATATATCTCGCACCTAAACTGTCATATTTATACACATAGCGCTCAAATCTTCAATATTACATCAAGCATATCACTATTATCACTTTTTAAAATTGAAATACACCTTTTAATGCAAAGGTTTAAAACACCAATGTTACGTATGCAAATCTGAAGGTATAGGTGTGAGAGATGTAAATACACAGAATTTGTGTGCTGCATATATATATTTACCTAAATTAAAATTAATGACACCTCCCATCAAGGATGAAAATAAACCTTACCCAATTTAATAGAGCGAATATAATCACACTACAATATATTTGTAGGAACTTTTTCATGTATTATCATTTTTTAATCAAGTCCTTCAGAAAGGAGCGTAATTAACAGATGAAGAAATGAAATATATGCAACAAAGTGAAGGGCCATGACACCGGAGAAAGCCAAAACCATAAAAAAATAATAATAATATTGCTCAATTCAAAGGTTATAACAACGACTTTAAACAAGAAATAAATGACAACAAACCTAAACAGACACCCTAGAGCAAAGGCGAAGGGCTGAACACCGGCTGGACAGCATGAGAAAGGGCTGGTTCGAGCTTGCAGCAGCACCAAACGGCGCGGGAGGCTGTGACAGCCGGTGGGCATTGGGGGGAAGTGTTATAATGCTGTTTGGAAGGTTAGGTGATTGGAACAGTCATATGTGAGGGGGAGTAGGAGGGGCGTGAGGTCAGCAGATAGCATGGGGAAGGAGTTTGGCCGCACAGTGGAAACAGGAAGGATTACGATAACGGGATGAGTGCGGGAAGGTTGCTGGAAAATGTCGGTTAGGAGCAGGTGCTGAGGGACCTGCGGTTCGGAAAGAAGACTATGCATTTGGAAGAGGTGGGAGGACTAAAAGGGAAGGTGGGGCAGCTAATTGGGAAGGGATGGTGGCGACAAAAGCAAGCAGTTGGGAGGCAGATAATTTAGGGAAGAGGGACGGTGTGGAGGTGGAATTAAAATATGCATTTATCATAACTCACGATTGTATTCCATAAGTCACTCAAAATCTTTTCATCTTTGACAAATTGGACCTCCTTCTCTAAGGGAAACTCAAAAGGCAGGTTATATATATCTGAAATGCCTAAATTTTTTTTTATTTGAAATTGACCTGTGTCTAGTATCAGCTTCTCAAACACTTGGTTCTTTTGGACATCCAAAGTCAGTTCTGCTGATGCTCCTCTCTATACCTACAAAATGCTAGCTCGAAGCACCATAATCTCATACTCTGCTGGAATGCCCATTAGTAGGGCTGTAAATGAGCCGAGCTTGAGCGAACTCATTCTTGGCTCGTGTTCGGCTCGTTCGAAATAGCTCGTGTTCAAAATCGGCTCGTGAACAGTGTGTTTGTGTTCGGCTCAATTTAAATATTCGTGTTCGGCTCGTGTTTGACTCAAAATTGACTCCTTAAACTTAAATTGAGAAAAATAAATGTAAAGAATGAGATTCGAATCTGGATCAAATATATACAAAAGAAGGTACTAACCACATTGCCACATGAGGTGCTATGATTTAAACTTAGACATAAATATATATCATATATTATTATATAAATAATATATGTAATATATTGTTATATAAATAGTTATATAATTTTTTTTATTTCGAGCTAAAACGAGCCGAACACAAGCAAACAAAGAGTTTTGTGTTCGGCTCGTTTATAATTCAAGCTTTAAGATTTATTCATGTTCGACTCGTTTACTTAATGAACGAACTGAACATAAGCTACTTAACGAGCCGAACACGGGTTGTTCGCGAACAACAAGTTTTTTTAACAGCCCTACCCATTAGATCAGCATCACTATCTTATAGAATAGCTATTGTTGCCTCAATTGAAATCTCTATCTTAAGGTCAACTAGAATCGACGACGTCTCTTCCTTTTGGCTGAAATTTGAGAATCCTCTCTGAACTCTGCATCTTCTTCTGGATCTCTTTTTTTTTTTTCACTTCAACTGGAAGCTCGTCCTTCTGCTTTGTGTCATCACCGTCTTCAGTGTCTACTGCATCATTACCCAATTTTTCGAAAACACCCAGCTCCGTGAAACAAATCACCCCCGGGTTGTGCAGTTTGATTCAATATGCCTAAATTTGTAACACTTGCAAAACGTCTTGGCTCGGATAGATTTAAAGATGCGGATTGCTCTACATGTTCTCCACTCTGACTCAGTTTTGCTCTAATGGGGTCAGCTTGGATATTCTCGTAGGTGTAATTTGGATGTCAGACCCTGAGGTTGAACTCTGCCTATAAGATGTGGTCTCTCCACTTCTGAAGCTATAATCCGAACCCTTTGTCTATAGTAAGCTAGCAGGAATTAGCGTTGTGTCCTCACTTCATCTTTAGATTCTCTCGTTCTCTCATTCACCTCTCCCGATCACGGTCGAGGGTAACATCGCATTGAATTCCATAATCGACGTCCGCAAGCCTCTGCTGAAGTTGGTGGATCTCTTGTTATATCTCCTCCCGGGTAGGCTCAGGCATGTATCTACTTAGTAGCATGGATAGGGTTTAAGGTTGAGAGGAGAAAGAGGGAAAAAATAATTGGTTTAAGGTTATTAATTTTGAAAATCAGTAAGGGGGTATTTGGGATAGAGATATGTGGTATTGAAAAGGGTATTTGGCGGTAGAAAAAAAAAACTGTGATATGGAAGATGCTAGGAAACCCAAGGATAGGAGTAGGGTTAGACTAGCTCCAATACCAAATGATACTGGAAAAAATTCAAACCATAAAAGAAATAATAATATCATTGTTGAAATTCAAAGGTTATAACGACAACTCTTCAAACAATAAATAAATGACAACAAACATAAAAGAACACCTTAGAGCAAAGGAGAAGAGCCAAACATCAGCTGGACAACACGAGGAGGGGATGGTTGGGGCTTGCGATAGAGCCAGATGGTGCGGGAAAAGGCTGTGACAGCAGGTGGGTTGGGGGGAAAGTGTTACAGTGTTGTTTTGAATGTTGGGTGATTGGGAGAGTCATACGTGAGGGGGGGTAGGAGGGGCATCAGGTGAGCAGGTAGCATGGGGAAGGGGTTTGGCCTCACAGTGGAAATAGGAAGGATTATGGGAACGAGATGAGACCAGTTAGGTTGTTGGAAACTGTCGGTTAGGAGCACGTGTTGAAGGACCTACGCCTGAGAAGGAGAAATAGGCAGTTGGAAGAGGTGAGAGGGCTGAAGGGAAGTTGGGCAGCTAATTAGTAAGGGCATGGTGAAAGAGGCAGTAGCAAGGGTGCTGTGAGGTGACTGTCGGCAACAACAGGCAGTTGGGCCACAAGAAATTTAAGGAAGAGGGACGGTGTGCAAGTGGAAGGAAGTGTAGTAGCCAGGAAGGAAGGAAACGTTGTGGATAAACACTACCTCAGAGAAAGATACAGCTAGCACACCACCGTCCTCGGATAAAGCCCTAGAAAGGGAAAGGAGGACGTCGATGGCTGTCCTTGACAGTAATCTAAAATCAAACTCACCAAAAACTAACCCTAAAATAGAGAAACAACATATAAATAGAAAATAGATAGGCAGGAAATAAAAAAAATAACATCACTTTAAGAAAGTAAAAAAGCCAAAATAACATATGAATGACCATGATGTATTTTTCTATAATCAATCTTCTAAAAAAAATAAACATAAACATCTCAACCTAAGATTTTACTGGGGGTTATCCATCAACACAACAATAAAATACCAAATTAATGTAATTGGAGAAAAGAACAAACTCTTAAGAAAAGCCTAATACAATCGTAGTGAAGTTTGTTAAGTAATTTTGCAAATAAAGAAAAGAAATATAAAGAAAATTGCTATAACCCCAAATGATTATAGGTTGTTGAACAAAAACAGATGAAGTGTAAGAAGATTAAAGAACAAGTAGATGGTTAGAAATATTTTTTTTAAAACAAACATATAAGATAAATTTGTGAAATAACAATGAAGGTGCACAATCTATTAAATAAAGTCAGGCATGGTTCTAGAAAGCTAGGTTGATCTAAAAAGGCTCCCTATAATTTATAATCAATATTAGAGTAAAAGTTTTTCCAATATGTTGTTAAGAAATCTATGCTAAAGTGTAAAATTTGTCCTACATTAATATCAAATATAGGAAAAGTATATCATTTCCAACTTTCCATTTAAAATAACTGTACCTACAAGCAGAGGGTGGTCATTAGTTGAGTTCCAGCCAGGCAACCTTTCGATTTCTGCTCCTCTTGAGTCGAAAAAGTGCAAATTTTTTCGCTGAATCAAGCCCAATTTTTTAAATTTAAAAAAATTTTAGAAATTCTTAAATTCAACACAAGCAAAATCAGAAGTGCATTTATCTATGCAGGAGTATACTTGGAGTTTAATATAGTTAATTTTGAGCAAGAAGCCGTTCTCATATACAAGAACACCGGCCAGATGACTCGGATCCGCTAATTCAAAATCAAATAGTTCTTTCAAATCCACATGAAGAAAATCAGCGCCAATACAGATACGCCTTCATTTTCTAATTACAACAAAAAAAATCAACTAGAAATGCCACAATGGAATCCAAAATCCCAACCATCCACATCAGAATCACAGCAAAAACAACTCACCCAAACACCACAAGAAAACAATCACATCCACAACAAACTCATCAATCAAATAAAAATCCAACAGGCAATACAATACTTAAAACACCAGCACCAATCAATCACTCATTTGCAACCAATCTAAACATATTCATAGACGCATATTCATTACCTCCACAAGGAAAAAAAAAAAAAAAAACAACCAAATTCATTCCAGTCAAAACTAACCCTAAAATTCCAATTCAGACCAAGGGAATTCATCATCTAATAAGAAAAGGAGAGGAAGGTAGAGTACCGAAGGAGGAGCAGTTATCAACACCCTCGAGAGTTACGATGGCCGCGAGGATGAAGACGAAGGGGAGGAGGAAGGCGAGGATTAAAACGGTGTAGAAGAGATTTCGATAGGGCGGCGGGCGAGCACCGGCTCCAACTTTGACCTTCATCGAGTCGAGGACCCCATTGTTGCTCGAGATCGTGATGGTTCTCATGCTCGGCGAGATCCGGAGCTGCATCCTCCCCTCTAATGAGAAGGCGGTGAGCTCGTTCGAGAATACGGCGGCCGCTTGTTGTCGGTGGAGGCGGAGCCCCTCGCCGTCATCGACTTCGGCCCATCAGCTCGATCCAGCTCGATATCGGAGGATCGGTGGGGACAAATTGAGAAAGAAAGGGTTATTTATATAATTATATTATTATTATAATTAAGAATTAAGTGCCATATATGTAAAATTTCCTTATTATTATAATAATATAATTTATATTTAAAAAAAGAAAAATAAAAATTAATTACATATGGTATGACCAAATCATAAAATCTTATAAATTTATGAAGTAATTTTATTACCTTTTTAAGTTTGACATAGTTTATTAGTGTCACATGTATGGGTGTAAACGAGTCAAGTTTGAGTGAGTCCAAATATTTTTCGTATTCGGCTTGTTAAAATATATTACTATTCGTGTTTGGCTCATTTATATATCGAGCTTAAAAAATCTATTTGTGTTCGACTAGTTTGCTTGGCGAGCCGAATACAGGCTGTTCGCGAACAACGAGTTATTTTCATAACCCTAATCACTCATTCGAAAAATGTTAGATGTAAGTATGAGATTTAAATACTATAGTTTATATTAAAATGTTCATTTAAATATATTTTAGTATATTTTTTCTATTTAAAATTAATAATTATAATTGATTAAAAATTTTTGTAGCCTTGTAATCAATTAAATTATTTAAAAATAATACTCATTAGATATTTTTGTAAATAAAATTTAGACATAAACCCCAAGATAATAAATGACTTTAACTTATTTCTTCAATCTTGGCTATCATGACATGAATCAAGCCAATTTTTTTTATTATAATAAAATTTATAATGCATGAAATATTTCATATTCCTTAAACAAATTTAAAATGTTTGAAATTGCAAAATTATAAAATGTATTTATATTTTCAAAAAAAAAATATATCATGAATTTTCATTGAAGAAGATTGCGCATCACCCCTCCCTAATCTAAAAGACATCTCAACTGCCTAGCTAAGGTTCTACTATTTTTTCAAATAATCAGCCACCAAATCTAAATAAAAAATAATTTCTTTTTTACAAATTAACCCCTCATATAAAATAATCATGTGTGTGTATAAATATATATGAATCAAGTATATGAAAAAAATATAATAATCTAAGTTAATCTAATGACTTTCATTTGGGGCGGTGGTGTGACATCACGTTGCAGTTTTGGGTAATTTGTGTTTTTGAAAAAGTTGCTCCTGAAATTTATGTTTCGCACCGGTCCTGATTAGATGTCGTTGTAGTTTTTCAGCTGCGGTATGAATTTATCCGAAAAAATAATTATAGTTGTTATCGCAGTTTTTTGAATATCATATTAGCAAGCAGATGTTTTTAATGGAGCAAATTTCAAATAAATAAAAATTTCAAAATCATGATTGCATAAAAATGGGCCCACAAAGCTTTTCAGAGAAAAGTATGACAGCCAGAAATAAAATTAAAAAAGTTTTTTTTTCCTTATTGGTGAAATAAAATCTAAGATTTCGCTGCCATATATATGTATATATATATATGTATTCTATGTGTTCTACAAAATCTATATAACCTATGAGAGGATGAGGTCATGCATACGTAGACATATAATTTGTTTAGTATGGATATAATATTAATAATGTGGTTTTACATATGTTTTATAAAATAAAATTATCTTATTCCAATATAAATTAGAATTATGAGCTAAGTCTGTTGAATCCAAGATTGTACGTGAATCACATCCAATGAATAAAGCGAATAGAGAGAGAAAGAGAGACACTAATGAAATGTTTTGAATAGTGCATCATTTTTCAAAAAAAAAAAATTTTTTTTTTTATATATAGGGGAGATAGTGCAGTGGTGATAATAGATTTGTGCTCGAGTTAGGAGGGGGTTTGTATCGGGGCATTACGAGTATGGCTTATCATTCAACTGTCTTCTGGCTCGACCAACTAAGTTTAGTTAAGTTCGGGTTGACGGAATCAACTCAATTTAGTTAAATAGCTTTGATCCCTACTAACGAGCATTTGGGGTGTCTCCATTGGATAGTCGGAGATATTTTATGGAACTGGGTCTTCCCTTAGGCCAGCTCCGCTGCGGGACTCGCCATTGCATCAAGCAGGCTTTAGTATTGTGGGTGGCTCGGTCACTTTCCTATCAAATCTCTAGTTAAATGACTCATGCTTGGATCGCTGATTCGTCGTCTTGCATGGCTTTGCTCGTTTGATCAAGTGAGTCTCACGATCTCCTTATAGAGGATCTGCCTCCCCTAAACCTTTTTGACGTACAAAGTCAGTATAGAAAACTCATAAAATAAAAAAATATATATATTTTTAACATTATTTTAAAGATGAGTAAATAAATAAAAGTTAAAGTCTAAGACATTAGATGTAGACAACTATGAAATTTATGAATTGAGAGTGAAAGGTATGATGGAGAATTTTATTTAATTATTAGCCTATATTGGATTGCACTAATTTCACTTATTATTAATAATATATAACATGATGCTTGCTCTATTAAATACAAAAATAAAAATAAAATAAAAATGTATGGAGTTGATGAGAAGGTAGTTATGAGGTCAAAATCAGATGGGAAGAAGCTGGGGAATAAAGCTGTAAAGGGAGCAATTTGTGTTTATCTTTATTAGATGTCAGGACATGAATGATGATGCATGGGCTGCATGTCATGCCAACCACTTTACATGAAGGTTATGTGTGACATTTTTAATTAATAAAAATTTTTAACTTTCTAATAGTATTTTTTTAATAAGGTATAAATGTAAAAAAAAAAAGAGTTGATGTTAGATATGTAAATACATAAGAATTGGGTGGTATGCATGCAAATGCCCCTAAATTTAAAGTATCCAATAAGGACTCTAACCTTCAAAATTTAACTTGCAAACATAAGGAACCAAAGAAGCATTCAGCCCAAGTCTGCACAAGAAATACAAAGTCCAAACTTACACAAACCCCCATCTTCACCATTACAACATCAAGGGGAATTCAAAATATATACAAATTAACTAAGGACAATCCCAAATCTCTTTTTTACTTCCAGTCAAGCATGTCGAGAAGCCATAGAACCTCGTCCTCTGAGCTCGCGGCATCACAGAAGTCGATCTCGATTCCAAACACATCCATGATAGTATCATTATTAACATCCAGAAATAGCAAAGAAACCCAAGCTCTTATTCCAGATATAAAAGGATGAGCAGGGGAGAAGTTCAGATAGTCATATGCCAGCGCCCTGAATGCGTTGCTATCGATGTAATCGAACAGAGCTCTGTTGAGGATGCATGCCATCTTATTTGTGTCTCGGCGGGCAGCGAGGACGGAGACGGTGACGTGTCCTAAAGGAATGGTGAAGCTCGGTTCGACCTGCATTATCATCTTGTAATCGGGGTCGTCGAGATGAGCCGTGAGGATGTCCGATATGTCGCGGGGTCGGTTCATGATTCCACCTCGAAGGTTTGAGCCGGAGATGGCTTCTGAGAAGATGAGTCGCTCTCCGGACCAAAGATCGATGTAGAATTCGATATCTTCAAATGATAATTGTGGGGGAAGAGGGGGTTGCGGAGTGGGTTTGGAGAAGGTTTGGTAGAGCTTGTGGTAGCTTAGGGAGGGTGGAGGTCTCTTGCAGATGGAGGGCCATCTTTTGGAGCAGAGGCATTTCCAGAAATATTCGTCCTTGGCTATGTCTCGCCATTGACGGGATACGAGCAGGCAGGAAGTTAGATCGTTGCCGTCCAGAAGAGGAAACACAGCTTTTAGAACTTCGCCGAAGGACCAATCTCTTGTCATAGTAAAGCAATGTTGAGCAGGGCAGGGGAATAAATATGATTTGTGTGGTTTAGCTGAGGGTTAAAGAAATAAAATTTGGAAGAGTTTAGCATGGATGTTGATAATGGTTAAAAATATAAATACAGGTTAAGTTTTGTGTAAGTGTGCATAAAAAAATTTCAGATCAGTCAATATAAACGCTGGAAAGAGGCTTGCTTTCATACATTACATCCTTCTGCTTATCTACACATGCAGTATAGATAGCTAATGGGCTGTTTGAAACAAAAAATGTTTGAAATGCTTGATTAATTGAAACGAAACAAGGAGCCTCTGGTTCAATCAAATCAAAAATTGGCGCAAACAAGCCGAGTAAAGAACCGTGCAAGCTTGAACCAATTGAACCAAAACCCCACTTAAACCTGAACCGGCTGAGCTTTTCCAACCAAACTAGAATAGAGAGTGACTCAATCAGGTCGATTATGTCACTAAACCGCCCAAGACTATGCGAGCTCTATAGTCAGAAACGTATATGCTTCTGTTGTCTTATTCTCTATAAGATTTTAGCCGCTTGTCTGTTGTGTTATCTATCTTTGGGGCTAAAATTATGATTTTCCTACAATACTGTTGCGCTAATAATGTAGCTAGCCAATTCCTCCAGATTGTGGCATCTATTATATAGGATTTCTTATATCTGGTTGTTTGAGCATATGTAGCATTGGTTGTGGCTCCTTTGTTGTGCTCTTTTTTAATTCTATTTTTGGGGTTTTGGATGTGGGAGGAAGGAATTCTATATTTAAATTGAACCTATACAAAGCAGATGACTAGATAACTAAATGTCTATACTATTAATTTCAAAAAAGTTAAATTTGTTAAAATAAAATAAGTAAAGGTTGCTCAAACTCTTTGGTGGAAAAAAAAAAAAAAAAAAAAAAAATGCCCTCTTGCTCAGTGAACAGAGGCAAATTTTACAAGCATTGTAGCAATATAATTTGCATATAAACCATTGTATTACCGGTATTTGTACCAATAAACCATTGTATTACGGGTATTTGTATCAATATAGGCCGTCTGCAATAGCTTAGGAGTTGAATAAACTACAATTCATAGAAAAAATTATCTGAGATTTTATTTAGATGATTAAAACTAGAGTATGTTATGAGTATTCCATCAGAACTATAGCATATGTAACTTGTATTCTAAGAGAAAAATCAAAGTCATCTCTTATTAATTTTACCACATACACACCAATACAGGAATCATGCATGGCTAAATATGATCTAATTAAAGATATTGTATTTTATAAATACTCTTTTGAAGAAGTTTTAGATGTTAAAACTGATTTACAATTGCGTATAAGTCTGCATCTAATGTTATTCAATCTAAATATATATCTACAATAGATCATGTTCATGATTATGAATCTATACTTAAACAAAAAACATAATTAGTGTTTGTAAGTAATATTGAGGATGTGATCATATTTAAACCTAATTTTCTAATAAAATAAAATTGAAGCTAAGCCTGTATAGGAAATTCAACAAATCATGCCAACTATAGTTGATGAACCGGTCAATTCAAAAAGGTGCATAATTCCTGAAAACTTATTTTTAAATCATTTGTATTAATTTTCTTGAGGATATTCACTCATATAATCATATCATGTATCAGGTTTAAGTGAAACAGATGCAATTCTTAAAAAAACATATGACAACCTGCTTAATGTGCAAGAAAAGCATTTCTACACATAAACTATTAATTATGACAATTATAAACTTTTTGTTGATGTCAACATGAGGCAAGTACTATTTAAACACTGTGATAAAATTAATGAAAAGTGTTGTCAGTCAAGAACAAGTAAATGTGGGTAAGGCAAAAGAATTTAAATTTTATAGCTCATTAGAATTAACACATATGAGTTATAAATTTCAAGAAATTATGGTTTTAATAAATTTTTTAGTGTATCTAACATTCTAATTTGAGTTTATTTCATAAAGCCTGCAATTAATTTAATGGTTTTTTCTCTCTTACTATCTCCTCCATAAGAATCTTTATCCAATATCGACCAAACAATTACATAGTACTTGTTCCTGAAGTTATCCTAAATGATGAGATTATATTTCTATTGATGGTGGATTCTAAAAATATCTCAAGCATTGGAATGACAAATTTGTTTGTACAGACTCATAAATTTCTTTCCTAAAAGGAAAATATTATACCAAAGATGAAACTTTTGAAATGTTTATAATGCAAATTTTAATTAGAGAATACAATAAATAAAAAATATGCAAAGTCCCACCACTTAGGTGTGACTTTGCTATAGTAAGTAGCACCTACAAGACATGACTTAATTTTTTATTTTTTTTAACTACAAGAATGTTGAGTAAAATAGGGCGAAGAATAACTAGAACGACACAAATCCAGAAAAACACAGAGATTTAACGAGGTCATCGGGAGCAGAGCGGCGAGTTCCTTTCAATAATCAGAAAAGAATTTATAGAAATTAGGGATACCTCCTGGGATTACTAACAGGCCTATTTATAACCCCAAGAGTAAACCTTATGCACAATATATAATTACAACATTACCCATGTACCATACCGCGGGGCTTTGCCCCCGCACCCCAACCCACGTAACTTCCCAATTTGGATAGATTCTTCTGCCCCGCTCTGCTCCGCTTTGATCCAGCGTCTCTCAATATGGTATATGAGTCATACCATAACAAATCTCCACCTTGGCGAATATCCAACCCCTTAGGAGAAAAATACCCGAGAGTTACACCTGCACCACTGTGAGTTGGGCCACCATGCTTCTCTAGCAACTGCAAACATTCAACAAGTCCAAGCAATGCAAGAACTTGTTGATAGTAACTGGCTTGGTCAACATATCAGTTGCATTCTCATCAGTATGAACCTTCTGCAACAGTATTCCCCCAGAAGCAATCAACTCTCTGATCTTGTGATACCTGACATCAATGTGCTTGGTTCTCGCATGGTACACCTGGTTCTTAGTCAGATAAATAGCACTCTGACTATCATAATGCAACTGAACTCCACATTGCTCAACGCCCAGTTCCTTTACTAGCCCAGCAAGCCATAAGGCTTCTTTAGCAGCTTCAGCTACTGTCATGTACTCAGCTTCAGTTGTAGATAATGTCACAATAGACTGAATTGTTGATTTCCAACATATAGGTCCTCCACCAAGAGTAAACAAATATCCAGTTGTAGACCGTCTGTCATCCAAATCACCTGCATAGTCGGAATCAATATACCCTACAACATCTTCTGACTGCCAAAAATAATTTCATGCCCTACAGTACCCTTCAAATACCTGAAAATCCACTTGACTGTTTCCCAGTGTCGTCTTCCAGGTTTAGCCATGTATTTGCAGACTCGACTAACAACATGAGTCAAATCAGGACGAGTACATACCATAGCATACATCAAGCAGCCATACATCACCATAGCATACATCAAGCAGCCAACAACACTGGCGTATGAAACCTTTGTCATGTCTTCAATTTTTGTATCAGTCTTAATTCTGAAGAAAGTTTAAAATGTAAAATGATTTGTCAAAGGAGTGCTCACAGGCTTTGCATTGCTCATCTCAAACCTTTCCAACACTTTCTCAACATAGTCTCGCTAAGATAGACACAATCGTCTTGAGTCTCTGTCTCGATGAATCTCCATTCCAAGAATCTTCTTCGTAGGACCCAAGTCTTTCATGTCAAATTTATGGCTCAATAAAACTTTCAAACCACAGGCATCATTCATATTTTTTGCAGCAATCAGCATATCATCAACATACAGTAACAGAAAATTAATAGAACCATGATTAAGGCTTTTCACATAAACACAACAATCATACTCACATCGTCTGTAACCAATCTGCATCATGTAGGAGTCAAATCGCTTGTATCATTGTCTTGAAGACTGTTTCAACTCATACAACGATTTCTTTAACCTGCAAACCAGATGCTCCTGTCCAAGCTGAGTGAACCCTTCTGGCTGCTCCATGTAAATCTGCTCCTCCAAATCACCATGCAAGAAAGCAGTTTTAACATTCATCTGCTCCAAATGCAAATCTCAAAGAGCTACTAATGCAAGCACTGCCCTGATTGAAGTATGTCTGACCACAGGAGAAAAGATTTCATCATAATCTATCCCCTTCTCTACAAAAGGAAACTAGCAGTATCAGAAAAAGATGGGGAAAAGTTCAAGACTCGACTAGTTGCAAAGGGATTTTTGCAGCAGAAGGGGATAGATTATGATGAAATCTTTTCTCCTGTGGTCAGACATACTTCAATCAGGGCAGTGCTTGCATTAGTAGCTCTTTGAGATTTGCATTTGGAGCAGATGAATGTTAAAACTGCTTTCTTGCATGGTGATTTGGAGGAGCAGATTTACATGGAGCAGCCAGAAGGGTTCACTCAGCTTGGACAGGAGCATCTGGTTTGCAGGTTAAAGAAATCGTTGTATGAGTTGAAACAGTCTTCAAGACAATGATACAAGCGATTTGACTCCTACATGATGCAGATTGGTTACAGACGATGTGAGTATGATTGTTGTTCTCTGTCTATCTCTGGCTAGATTGTAATTCTGCAGATCATCTAGAATAAAATCACCAGGTGTTGGATTTGAACTTTCACCTCTCTCAGAAGCAACTGGTTGTTGTTCTAAATCCATCTGCACTGCATCTGAACTGGAACTCTTCTCTGGCATCTTGTCTTAATTCTGCTGTAACATAAACTGTTCATCAGAAACCGCATTTCTGCTGATCACCATCTTCTTTGCAATCGGATCCCAAAACTTGTATCCTTTCACACCTTTCTTGTAGCCCAGAAAGATGCACTTCTTGGATTTTGCATCAAGTTTGGATCTTTCATCTCCAAGTACATGCACATAAGCAGGACATCCAAAAATTCGTAAATGATCAAATTTAATTGGATTACCTATTCATACCTCTTCCGCGACCTTGCCGCCCAATGATGCTCGAGGTGATCTATTGATGAGATAGCATGTCATATTCACAGTCTCTGCCCAAAAACTCTTAGGAAGCCCTGCATTCAGTCTCAAACACCTTGCCCTTTCAGTTAAGGACCTGTTCATTTTTTCTGTCACACCATTCTGCTGTGGTGTCGTCCGCACTGAAAAATTTCTCTGTGGTGTCTTGCGCACTGAAAAATACATCTGAAACTCATGCTCCTCACAAAACTTCTAAAACTACAAATCTATGTACTTTGTGTCATTATAAAACCTCAAATACTTGATATTTCTACGAGTTTGGTTCTCCACCTCAGTTTTCCACAACTTGAATTTAGAGAAGAATTCAGATTTCTGCTTCAAGAAATACACACAAACTTTCCTGGAGAAAAGGTAATTGGAGAAATCATCAATAAAGGTAACGAAATACTGAGATCCTCCCAATGAC